TTCTTTTTCGTATATAACATCTGAAAAATATAAACACCAATCAATTAGATTTTAGCTACCATGGTCTGGCTTCTTGTGTAGTTTAATTGAAACTGGCCTTTATTCAATTGCTTGAAATCATGCTTTTTTTTCAGGTGTTCCATGGACAGAAGAAGAACATAGGCTTTTCTTAATTGGGTTGGAGAGGGTTGGTAAGGGAGATTGGAGAGGAATCTCTAAAAACTTCGTGAAAACTCGTACTCCCACCCAAGTTGCCAGCCACGCCCAGAAGTACTTCATTCGCCGGAGTAACGTCAACTGCCGCCGCCGGAGGTCGAGCCTCTTTGACATAACCTCTGACTCGGTAATTTTCCTGTTCTGAGTTGCTATAGGTGGAGCTAAAGTTTCAAATTTTCAGTCTTTTATCTCATAATAATGTATGAATATGGGGATTTAACATGAACTTTCTGTTGCTTGAGACAAGCTTATACTTTTTTGTTTCATATTATTGGTTGGCTATCGATATTTTCTTGGAAAGGGTCCAGTGAGGAGCATTGAGTTTAATTTTGAGTGATTATATGCTTTTTTTGGGTCTTTTTGAGTGATTATATGCTTTTTTTGGGTCTTGATCGTGTAATTTATGTTGAAATTTAACGCGTTGTTTTATGTTGTTTTGTGTAATCGATCCGGGTTTGTGTAATTTGCGTGTTATGAGTTACTGCAGGTGATAAAGTTTCAATTTTTAAGCCTTTTATCTCATAATAAATGTTTGAACTTTGAACATGGGATTTAACATGATTTCTGGTGCTTTTACATTTGACAAGCTTTTTTTTTCTTCTTTTTGAGTTCATTTTTATGGGTTGGCTGTTGGTGTTTTATTGGAAAGGGTCCAATGAGGAGTGAGGACCATTGCATTTACTTTTGAGTAAGATATGCTTTTTTGGTCCTTAACACGTAGTTATGTTGAAATCTAACGTGTCTTTCTTGTTGCTTTGTGTAATTTGAGCCGGATTTGTTTATTGCTAAAGATTAGCAAACAAAATTTTTGTTCTTTAAGTTGGCTGTAAAGCAATTCTTGAAAAGGTCTGAAGAGAAGACCACTAATTTCTTTTTCTCTTACTTTTCGGAAAACCGAAGGTCCCCTTTTCTGGGGTTAAAAGTGGGAAAAAGAAAAAGAAAACTTTCGGAGTGGTAGTAACCGTATATGATAGAAAGTTCAAGATTATGTTTCACCATATGTGTGGATGATATATTTATGTTTTGTTATTTTTCTAATTTATTTTTGTTAGGCTACTGCAATGCAAATCGAAGAGGGTAATAAAAACCAAGAGAGCCATGCAAAACCAATAGCTGCTGCTAATGTCGAGAGATTCTTAGTCGAGCCTTCCCCTAGCCTGGTTCTACACTCGAAGCAAGATGGAAAGTCAATGGAAAAATCGAGTTTTGCTCCAAAAAACACAATAAAAACCTCGTCAAAGGTCTTTTGCTCTGTTCCCGCACATACTTCCTCAACAATGGTGGATCTCAACTTAAGTCATGAAACCCCCCTCGAGCCATTACCATTATCTTTGAGGCTTTCGCTTTCATCTGATGTAGATCAACGCTTTACAAACGTTTCGGATTATGGGATTATGCCAAGCTTAAAGAACGGTGATAGCTATATCAGTGTTGCTTGAGGTTCTTGAATTTGAAGAAAATAATAAAACTGGCTGGAAGAGCACCAGTGTCGATTAGCTAGACTCGGTTATGGTTTGTAAGGGATTTTAAATTAAGAAATTAGGAAATTCGTGTTATCAGCTCGAAATCCATCT